TAAGAGAAAAAGCCATCCATTAAAAGAAATAAACTGCATGTTTGTGGCCTTATTAGAATAAGGATGAGGCAGGAAAGACAGAATTCCTCAGCAGACCTTTAGCGTGACAGCAGAATAAAGGAAACAGATGCACAGAGCTCTTTTAGATCATATATCTAAAGTAGGTGAATACAGACTTCATCCTGATGAAAGCAACATTTCCCCTGGAAATGAAATCCGAAGCATTGTAATACCCAATGATTTTGTACAGCGCCCAACCCCATGGGGCTTGTCACAGAGCAATATTTAGAGGATATGTGAAAAAGAGCCAGAATAGGCCAAGGTCTGGTTGTGACCGCAAACTTGGTCATGTGTAAAATACCTTCACACTTGCAAAAGGTGCCTGGTTAGGAGCCAAGGAAATTCATTTCAGCCATTATATTTTTGCCAACTATTTGTGGAACTAAAGTACTAACTGCATAAATTCTGCTTCCTTGCTGAGGTGGTAATGAATACGAGAGATTTAGCAGAAGTAGATTGAAATTTTTTGAACACAAGATTTTCAAAAAGAATCCTGGATTAGACATTATATACCCCTAAGCATATATACTGCCACATGAGGGAGAGTCAGAATTCCCTACTTGTTTAATTCTGGATTGCAATCTACACAGAAATGTATGCATCTAAAAATACACTCCTACTTTGGGGACTAATTAGCAAGTTTCAAAGATAGATAACCAAAGGGAAATTCAAGGGTAACTGAGTTAGCATGCTTAATCATGCTAATGTGATCATGCAGAAAAAAATGTTCTTTTCATTTTTGTGTGCTTGTCATTGTGAGAAGATGTGCCCTTCAATGAAAGGCTGAACAAACTGGTGCTGTGTAGCTTAAAGGAGCAAAAAAAAGATGAGATGGGATGCAGGATAATGACGTTCAAGTACGTAAAAGGCTGTTGTAAAAAGGAAGGGATCAATCTTTTCTCTATGCCATAGTGCGTATGGCAAGATGTAGAGGACTGAAAACAAACCAAGGGTTCATTTTGATATTAAGACAAAGTTTTTAAGAGTAGAGATTGTGAAGCATCAGTATGAATTACCTAGAGAGTTTTGGAGTCTCCATCTCTGAGATAGGACAAAAACATTTTAGTTAATCCTGCCTCAGGGCAAAGGACTGGAGTAAATGACCTTTCAAAGTCCCTTCTAGTCTTATGAGTCTCAAAAAGTAACCAGTAGCTTTTAAAGCAGAAGGACTGCGTGCATCTATTTTAAGGTGGCTGGAATTTCCAGCCCTTTCTTTTTGAATAGGACCTCTCTCTGGAGTCTATTGTTCAATGGGAAAAATTCCTGGGTTTCACCTTAGCTAGAAGACTTAATTTCCTGTTTGATATCATAAACAGTACTGTATTCTCAAAGAAGAAACTCCCAGATACCTTATTAGGAAAAAGGAATTAAAAAAAAAATCCCAAAGGACAGTGTAGTGTGACAAAGTAAAAAAAAATTATAGTGTAACACTGCCTTCACAGTATGTTATTTGCTCTTGCTACCTCCTGCAATCTAACCCAAATTAGTCTCACAGAAGAATTTAAGTACCTAATATCTCAGTAAATGCCACTGTCTACAAGTGAGTTCTCAGTGCTGAGCTGCTAAGCCCCTGTGCACTAGTTGGGTTCACAAACTGGACGACTCCTTGGCTGCCTTTCCTGGGGCATGAGGTCCACTAGATAACTAATGTGAATAACCTAATAGTTTAGGCATCCCCTGGAACAGAGAGAGAGGGGCAAACTTACATGGTAATGGAAGTTTAATTACACATAGTGGAACAGCTTCAGCAAGAGTTTTCGGGAAAGAGATGTCCTCAAATACCCCAGACTCCTGCTTCTGGGAGGTGAGACGCTTGCATGCGATTTTCTGCTCCAGAGCAGAGAAGGGGATTCCAGCCAGGTTCTGCCACATCTCATGTGAATGTTCACATTTACTGTGCCAATCAGTATGGGGTTAGAGTGGAAGAAGGAGGAAGAACATCTGACTTGCGTTTCTGTGTTTGATAGTGTGGCAAGACACGAAAGAGGTAGGCATCATAACATTTTAAGTCGTGCCTTCAGCTCTAAGAAACCTGTTCTAGTATTTTTAGATTTAAAAAGTCTGCTTTGCTTTTTGGCTCTGTCATGGACTCCCCTATAGTCTTATCTATACAAAGGTTGTCTGTAAGTCTGGCCAGATTTGTTAGGTAGTGAGTATAAGCTCGTGACTGATTAGATCCGCAGGTGGAATGCTGCCTAGAAAAGAAAAACTCTTCTTGCTTTCTAGTGATAACAGTTTGCCTCTTTGATCCCAATAGCTAACTTGGATTCAAGTAGAGCAGGATTTCACCTGAAGTCCTATTTTGACCTACTTACAGCTTCTAAGGCTTTCTTTTCTTTGCTGAAATTTTCTGGACCTGGTTGCTGTCCAAACATAATGTATTGATTTAATTTCACCAACAACATTTTCAGTCACATTTGGAAGAACGATTTCCTCCATTTAAGTAAAAAATGAATACATGACTATCTTTTCTTGGAATAGGTCCACAGCTGAGAGAAGAAAGTAGGAAAACATTTCTTTCTGAGAAATGCTTTTGCACGTTCTGTTGGTAGTTGGTTTGGACTTGGATGAGTTAGGGGATGTTGAAAACAGCATTTCTTGGAGGATCTGTGCATTTTTATTGTGATGTATGTAGGAATCCCTTTGGAGGAGGGAGGAGGAAGCTGGTCTCTGAAAGACTGTTTGACTCCAGCCCTTAAACAGAACAGAGCTTTTATCTTGTGTCCAGCCCCCAAATTCCAGCTCATGAATTTATTCATCTGTTTTCATTTACAAATAAAAAGAGAGCCTAAACTGTTGCACTGACAGCAGGTTAATTGAGTCTTAGAGTTGTAAAGACAAGCAATGATGTGAGGACAAATAACCCTGTGAATTTTCTATGCATCTCCTTGGCTCTCCCCTGCAGTGTATATTCCCTGGGTCACCAGGTAAATGTAACTCTGTCCTGCAGTCCATAGGCATTGAGCCCCAAGTACCTTGCAGTGGGGCCACAACTCAGGAATTCTTGGAAGTACATGTTAGTGTAACTGTTCAACAAACCACTTAACCCTAAAGGGTGCCTAAGAGACCTGCCCATGTAACCTATTATTTAAGTTGTACTGAGTAACATTGCTCATTACTTTCCTTATAGCATCTTTATGGGCTGCTCTTTGGAAGTTCTTTACACCAGTGTGCCTGACGTCAGGGAAAGGCTTTTGAGTGCTGTAGGGAGATCTGAATAAAGCCCCTACAATAAGATGCTTTCTCAGGAAAGACATCTCGGTAAAGGAGATGTGTACCTTGCAGAGCTAGTTGCTGATTTGCTGTTTGCTAAAGATAGATAAATAGAGCTAACAAAAAGCGTAATACATGGAGTACTTTGCAAGCCCTGATGTCTCATGGTACAGGATTATATATTTTCAAGCACTCATAGTCGTTCCAGTTTTTCTGATGGAAGCAACAGCCATAGATTTTTGTAAGATTAAAAAAAAATCTTGGCAGCAAGCTTTCTGAGGTGGTTATTCCCAACATTTCTATAGCTAGAACAGAAGTAAAAACTGCATTTACCATGTAGTTATTTAAAATGATAGGCTAACTTACAAGCCTGGAAGAGAAAGACGACAAGATCATTTACAATAGCATGTTGTAGCAATTAAGGGTATTATTCATAACCCAGTTCCTCCAGAAAGCCTCTGTCACCACCCACCCCTTCTCCTCCCCCATCTTCACCAGTTGCTTTTTCACTTCATTATGGTGATACAAAGACTACCCTTCAGAGAGCCAAATTTCAGGACAGCCATCCTGTCTTTCCTCGACTTTCTCAGCCACTGCTAACGCCTACCTTTGACTGGTATCTTGGCAGTTGCATAAGTAATGATCAAGCGAATGTCTAATTCTCAACTGTTTTATTTTATATGTGAACATTTATTAAGACTTTACTGCAATGCATATTCATGTTGGCACAGGTAACGTTGCACGTACTTCAGTAACAGTGCCAATTCGGAGTGCTGAGTTTGCAGCCGAAATGTTTTGTTATGACAGTTTTTTCCATGTGGTATTAAACTTAAAACTGGTGATGCCAAGTCATCCGCTGTGCTGCAGCAGTTTGGCATTGCAGCGTGGGACTTTCCTGAGCTGCTTAATCCTAGGGCTGGTTGAAGAGCGTCAGGCTGTGCTCATCCTCAAACCTGAGGAGCGTTACAAAAGCTGTCACACACCCTTTTATGATGTTGTAGGTGTCAAAAATTTTAAGTCTTGTGGAACATGAGGGATGGCATGTAAAACTGGAGTTGGGACTGGCTCAGCTCTACCAGGGCAAGGCTTCGTGCCTTCCCGTCATAGCCAGTCCGCTGCTTGCTTCGTGTGCCAGCTCGTGTATAAAATGTCCTTTCCCTGTGAGGATAACACGTCCCCCAGAGAGCCAGGCAGCCGGAGGGCCTGGGAAGGAGCGAGGGGAGGCGCGGCGGGGACGGAGCTCTTGCAGGCTGTCCGTCCTCGCCAAGCCAGCCCGCGGCTGTGCACGGGGACCGGGAGGAGGGGACACGCGTGGGCCTGCGCGGACCCAGGGTGCCACCTGCTGAGCAGGGGCAGGGAAAGGCAGTCTGCAGCGCCCGGTGCCTGCCTTCTGTCAACCGGCCGACCGTGAGGCAGGCGCTGGCTGGTACCTGCCTTCTCCCCCCAGGAACAACCCCCCCGCGCCCCCGGGGTGGTTGATTAAACAAGTTGAAAGAAATTTAAATCTGAAGAGATTTGACTGAGAGGTTCCAAAACACTCAATCATTTAGCGACCGCTATCCATTCTTGGATAAATGAGGGGGCACTGCCTGGCATAAACTTAGTTGCCCCCCGTGCCCCAAAGTACAGGTGTCGTCCTCACGTCTTAGAGACAGACCCTGAACCTCAAAACGCTCTGAGATCAGCCCAGATCACGGCCATCTTTCCCCACGAACTGCAGTGACAACTGCGGTCCCCACCCAGAAGAGCGGAGGTGCCAGGGCGCAGCCAGCCCCAGCGGGGACGGGGGCGGGGGCTGGCTTGCCAGAGGCCTGACTATGCATCAGAGCAATTTGAGGAGTGGTGTAAAATGTGCCCTGCAGCTTCAGCTATCCCAGAGGTATGTCGGGGGAGGGATCTTCATATAGGATGAAGGAAGGACCAGGAAAAGACCAAGAAAGAGAATGTAAATCTTCAGATACCGATAATCTGGAGAACCTGTCGATCCCATTAGTGACTGTAGGATAAATATGCAGGAAATGAACCTGGGTACTATCATTTCTTGTTCATATCCCACACGTATGGGGACAGCCAGTGGTATGGACACCACTGCTGGAAGATGTATGGGAGGCAGGGTCAGTGACCTCCGTGTGCTGCATGCCCCCAGGGCACGGGAGGCTGAGTACTGTCCCTCCAAGGACTGCACCTTCGGCCCTCTCCTGCCAGTGCTTTCCATCACTAACTCCTCCCCTGCGTTTGTTCAGGACCCTCTTTTCAGCATCCCTGCAATCACAGACATTTTTTGCTGATTCCCCGCTAGGTTGCCTGCTATGAAAACAGCACTTTGTCACAGCTGCTGGTTGATGGGGGAGTGAGAGATCTCTGTGTAAAGCTATGGGAAAGGGCCCCCTAGCATTCTGTCTGCCTTAAAAGTCTTGCTTTCAGTTTGGAAAGGAACTTGAACTAAAACCATCGAAAAGCTATCCAGAAAACACTGACTGTACGTTAAATCTTGTGATTGTTCCCACATCCCTCGTAATTCTCAACCGCAGCTCCATACTAGAGGCTAGATGCACATGGTGGGCATTTTTCCTCTTGCTAGCAGTGGGATAGCAGGAATGCAAGCTTCCCTTTCAAGTCCAAAATCAAAGTACTGACAAACAGTAAGAGAGAAATGTGAGTTTTGAGGTTGTATCTTCCCTCAAAACAAGAAAACTGTAGCAACTCCAAGGCTTTTCCCAATGCAGTTCTTCTCACAAATTTGTTTGCATCATTTTACTTTACTCTGTACAGGAAACAAGCCTACGGCTCTCTCACACTTTAATATGCTTGTCATGCTATCTGTACAGAAACATTTCAGACTCTTTGAACTCAGCACTTTGTTTCTCAGCCATGTCTTTTCAAGAACTGGCAGCCTGCAGGATAACTTTAAAAATAATTCATTTCATATTGCAGCAATACTGCATACTGGAGCTGTCTTGAACCGCTCCTGCTTTCTTCTAGTGCCACACTGTTATAGTGGTCTTGTTTCTGTCTTCTCGCAGGTGTTTGGTTTGCTTGCAGGGCAGCAGGAACTATACTATAGCTTGCAGCGTGGGTGAGCAGATGGGGTGGGTGCGCACAGCAAAACAGCTGGTGGAATTTCTGAACGGACCCTTTGCTCGTGTGGTCACTTTCGGTTTGCAGGGGACTGAAGTAAGATCATCCTTCTGGCCTTTTATTTCTATGTTCCTGTTCTTCTATTCTTATTTTTAAATAACAATTGTTCAGGTTTTCCTATTAAATAACAAATGCAAGTGTTTTGCAAAGTTTTGGCTTCCTGAAAAGAGACCTTCCCCTTTGTAATCTGCTTTTCAAAATGTGCTAAGTCATTCCCTGGGCAAGTTTCTGTTTCAGTTTCCACTTGCTTTTCTGATGCTGGGTTTCCATAAAACAGGAGAGTTTCTGTTTTCAAAGTAATTTCTGTTGCTTTCATTTTTTCTTTTTTATTTTTTTCCCCTACCTAATGCTGAGAAAAGTTACTTTACCCTACTCACAACACAGCCTTGCTGTTTGGGAGAAAGAGGCTGGTCATGGCAAGTGTGTGAGGTGCAGAGCATAAAGATACCGGAACTGTATTTCAGTGAGCAGCTAAGGTGGTGGCAGTCGTCTTGCTTATCAGCACGAGACTCTGCATGGACTTTCCTTCTGAGAATGAAAGGTGGGAGCAAAAGATGAAACAGTGCTAATATAACCTGCTTGGTATGATTTTCCTGTGCAGCCCTGATTTGAAAATGAGGCCAGAAGCAGGAGGCAATGGAAAGCTGGGTGTGCTACTGTGGGTCTGCAGAACTACATCACTTCTGGTCCCTGTTCCTGTTAAGCTCAATCTGATAGCTCTACGCTGCTCTGCTGACTGCAGTGTAGACACATACGCACTCCTTTGGAAAACCGACTGCACAATATAATCAATCCTCTTCTTTGATGCGCAGTGTTCAAGTTAAGAAAAAAAATTATGACGTATGCTAACCACTAGAATTAATGGCAGCCTGGGTTCAGCCTTGCAGACATCTCCTAAGGAGAATATGACTCATTGCTCAGGGACTTTTTTTATTTTTAACCATCCTCATTATACTAAGGTTGGGGGATTCCAGTGTGATGAAAAAAATTTCTCATTCTGTTTCACTGCCACAAATTTATGAGGTTTGGTGCCTCCATTTTATGATCTGCCTAGTTCAGATCAGTTATACTAACTAACCCACCGAATCCCTGAGAGGTGTACAACCTTAGTTTCTGGTGGCCAGATGCCTCACTCTGAGAGATAAAGCTGGAAGCCAAGAAAAGCCAAAGTTTAAGCCAAGCACCTGCCAACATACCTTTAAACTACATTTATGCCTTCCTGTGTGGGACATGGTACAGGGAGCAGCCTGTCTACCAGGGCTTGTGAGAACGTGGAGCTTTCCTTTCTTCCTGCCTTGGCTGTGCTTCTGCATAACTGTAACCTAGGAAAGATGGCATAGCCACCACCACTGCCATGCTGCTTTTCTGAAAGGCAGACATTTTATTCTTCTATATATGTGGAGCCTAGCCAAAACATGGCAATGAGCAACACACTGTCACAGCACGTCAGATCTGTACACGGACAGCACTGACACAAGTCAGTTATACAATGCTATGCCCTAAGCAGTCCATAGGTGCACAACTCCGGTGCATGGCTATTAAACCATCCAGCTACAGCCGCCTCAAGGTTTTCCTTTGAAAAGCATCACAGTGTGGCAATTTTTGCAGTATAGTAGTGGTAAGCTGATTGATTAGACGCTTAGAAAATGCAGAAAGGTTAGAGGCGAGAGGCTCCAAAGTGGGGTGGAAGGTTTTTCTGATCACTTAACATCTATGTGGTGCCTGAGACCTGGGGAAGAACTGCACAGCCTAAATTGGGCCTGGGCTTAGCAACAAAACATGCCGTGTGCCCTTCAGACCTTCAACGGGTCAAGTCTATGAAAGGCTTAAAGTTTTTGATCTAAGCCCTGCCTTTCCTTTCAGACTCCTGCTTAATGCCATACACAGATTTCTAGCTGTTTTCAAGGGCCACACACTGCCCTCCCAGACACCTCACTTCTAGCAACGTGACCTTTTGGAGCAACCCCACACAGCTGTGGGTGCCTGGCACCCTGCTGCCAAACCTGCCCTGCTCTTTCCACACCCCTGGGGCCAGGTGGCAGCAATTGGAACCGATCCCACACAGGGGTACACCCTGGCTGGTAGGTGGCAACAAGCCCGGGCAGGTCTCCTCGTGTTTTGTCTGAGTCTTGACACTCGCTGGAGAGTCTCTCTAGGGAACTGATGGCAGAGCTAGAGAAGAAAGTCACCCTGCTTACTGCGTGACCTGGAAAAATCAAACCTTTCCACTGAAGTTTCCTCTTCTGTGGAAAGATTTTGTGAGACTTTGCACAAACAGGTGTGTAAGTGGGAAAAGCCTTGCTGCAAAGCAGCCAGCGCTACTGGTCCTTTGAATTTAGGAGCTGAGCCCTGTGATGGAAGAAAGGTAAGGTGGGTTTTTTTTTTCAGGAGAGTGATCTCCCTTTTTGCGATTTACTAACCTGAGTAAAAGAAAACCTAAACATGACATCTATAGGTTGCATGATAAGAACAAAAGACAGAAGTCATGCACTATGTGCATTATTTTTTTTAAGGACAATGATGTTTTCATTGTATCAGTTCCTGCATTAGAAGAGCTAGTGTTGCGCACTTGCTTGTGAGGACTTAATAGCTTCTGCAGATTGCCTTCCAAAAATCATGGTTCTGCTGTCCTGCTTCAGCTCTTGCTTCTTTGAAGGGTTTTAACATTAGAAAAGGCTTGCAATCATTGCAGAGAACAAGGGAAATAATAATTTTTACTTAGCATTGGGAGCTTTTGCATAGAAAACTTGCACATATATATGCACACAAAACTCTGTATACACACAAAAGTGCTTTTATACAAGAGAGAAATCCCATTTATAACAGAGTAGAATTTAATTACACAGCAACACCTATATTCAAAATTAATTAGGAATATATTATATATATATTTGTTGTTGTTGTTCAAGTCTTCTTCCTGGTACACTTCATAGAATCTTAACACCAGAGTTTTCACTTTGAAAAATGCAACATCCCACAATTTTAATGTATGCAAAACACTACATTGATTAAGTAATGCAGGACCATACATATAGACTAAACCTTTTCTTCAAATAACGACTACTTTTCTTCTTGTAGTGAATCCTATAGCTGGACTCTTATATTGTACCTTTTCGTAAATGAGCTATAAAACTTCTCTTCCCACTTAACAACCAAAAAAAAAGCTAAAACTTTTTTTAAAGGAAAGATACTGCTATAAAAATCATAATTATTCCTTGTTCATATTAAAACTTCTTTGAATCAGTCAGAACTGCCAATGAAAATGGCATTTAAAAGCTTTGTTATTTATATTATTACAAAAATACTAGTTCAGTCAGAAATAAGTTTCAAATGACTCTGTGCTATGTCTCTTCCAAACTACCAGAATAGGTTTTACTTAGCTCAGCACTACCATTGTAAGAGTTTCTACATTCCTGAGTGCAGGTTTTGCTTTGCTCAGTGTCATCATTGTAAGACTGTCCCCCTTCCTGACAGCTGGAAACAGCTGCCTTCAGTTTTTCCTCAATTTTATCAGCTGCAGTGCACATTTTAAAGTCTCTCAGACTGCTTATTAGGGTTCCATAGGCTCCTTTTATCCCATGCCTTTGATACCAGACTTGAAACAGCTTAATCTTCTGTTCAGATGTATCGCTAAAATAATCCCGAACAGTTTGATCTATGACAGGTTCTGGTACTTTGTGATTACGAACAAATGTCTTGACTTCGTGGAGCGTCATCTCCTCCACAATACCAGCAACATGGCTGCTCAGGTCAACATCTAGAAGCATAAAAGGAAATTAATGCTCTTGGCACTTTTATCTTACTGTTTTTTATCACCTGTGCTCAGAGTTGATACTTTTCCTATCCAAAACAGATTAAGTTTCAGGTATTCATGACTCAGTATGTTTTATGTGTGATTTTTTTTTTTACAATATATACCGGGTCTGCTTCCACATGTTCCTACCAAATGCTAGGTAATTCAAGTATTTGGGGTTGCATCCATATTGCTTTCTACCACTTGAAATAGAATCTCAGTTCCCTCTGTAACCTACTCTGTCCTCTATCATTAAAGTCTGGTCATTCCTCAGGTACCTGTTTTGCTCAAAATAATGTTGGGAAAGGTCCTGGAACAGGACAGGTCTTTTGTTGTGATACAGCCTTAGAGCTTATGGTCTTTTGCTATTGTGTGTTACTACTGTGGATTTGCCCTTGAACATAAGGTAGGTTTGTGTTTCTGTGATCCCACTGCTGGGTGTGGGACTACTCCATTATCATAATTATCCATGATTCTAGAAACCCAGCTTGCTGCCTGCTAGTGTCTGTACCACGTGCAGAACAGAAATTCACCTGTTGTCAACTAGTAATTGCTTCCTATATGACAGAAATTCCTCCTGAGGCAAAACTTTCACGATACCACTAAATGCCTTAATAATCACAATATGAACTGGCATTTCTTTAATAAGTGTTCACTGTTGTGCTAGAATGACAGTTCTAGGCAGTGGCAAAGTCTACACAAAAATACCCTTTTTCTAGTGTAGGATTTACAGGTCTATATTTTTTTTCCTTCTACTGAATTTTGAGAAAGTACTTGTCTCTTACCTGTGTATATGAGAGGTACGTTCTCCTGAAAAGAGAAGCAAGAGAGAAATGAGTAGAAAAAAGTATTGTAAAATACCAACCTTGTATAATGGGATAAACACATTTCATGACACTTGACTTTTGTAATTTTCATTTAGTTTTCTCCATGATTCCCCTGTTTTAAGAGTGAGGGAATCAGATTGGACAGACAGACCTCTTTTGACTTGGGTAAGCTTGGGGAATCACTTCACAATTGATACTGCCAAGAAGTATGCATGGGGACAGGTACCCTGGGTCAGTGGAGGCCTGATGATTTATGAAGTTTTGATCTTGGTCACTTAACTTAGGAAACGTGTCAACAAATCCTGAAGATACAAGGTATCTCTTACTTCTCCCCAAAGAGTCTTCATAGTGAAATTTACTTTGTTAATGTCATAGAAGAGAGGCACACACATGCTTGGGGAGTCCCAGTGTAATTTAAATGGAACAAAGTTCCTTGCATGAAGCTGAGTTTTTTGTGATCTAAGCAACAATACTTACATAAGAAGCCTCTGCTTTGGGGACTACTTCACCTAGGTTCTCCTTGCTAGTACGACCCTTCTGTTTTCTCCTGTCTGAAACAAAAAAGCATTTTTAAAATCCAGGACAGTGTATCACTCCTCTGGACTCCAATAATATAAAATTACACCTGATTAAGCAGCTGAATATCTTATTCAGAGTATGACGGGAATAAGGAATAGAGAATCACTTACAACAGAATGTTGCTCCAGCTACTGCTAGTAGTGCTAACGGAATTATCAAAGCAATGGCCCACCATGGTTCTCCTGTTTATGTTGGAACATTGGAAACATTACATGAAAGTTAAGTCAAGAAATGTAATACAGCATCACACTAAATTTTAAACAAGATTGCGTCAGATAATAAAAGCCTTTTCATTGTCTCCTAATGGCAGAAGCTACCTCTGTTGAAGTCTTACCTATCGTGAGTCTCCCCTAGAAAAGGAGTAATAGTTCCTACATCTGCACAGTGATCAAGAGAAAAGAGCAATCATGCTCTGCAGTTCAGTACAGGGTCAGTAGATATGATGCCCTTAGCTGTCAGGAATCACTATGGGCCATTGTGTAGGACAGTGCAATTGCAATAGCCACTAAAAATACAGCAGATGCTAGACCATGCTAGATTTTAAAACAGTACCTTTTGTTCCACACACAGTGTCTGAAGTTGAAGTACATTGTTTTTCAATTACGCCACTTTCACATCTGCAGAAAACATGAACAAAAATTATTATGGGATTTGTTTCTCTCTTTATAAACTCTGTCAAGAGAGCAAATCAAAATCTTCTAACATTTCTTATCAGCTAAATATTTCATATATCAAGATGTTGGAGTTTGGAATTTAATAGGTATGAAAATGGTATGGAAAGGTATGAGAGTGGAAAAAGGTGTGGAAATGGTTTTCTAGATGTAACAGATCACACAAAGACAACAGGAAAGCTCAGATACTTCATTACATTTTTGAAAAGTATATACAGATGTAGTGGATGTATACAAGTTTTTCTGTATGCCTTTGGAAAGCCTGCATGGATGCAAGTTAAGTTGACTGAGCTAAGTCAGCTCAACAAGCTAAGTGCAAAGGAAAATTAGTATATTTTCCCTCAGATTATACATTGCCTTAGCCTCTGTCTTGAAACTGTCTGGAAAAAAGTGTGATAACATACGATATTAAAAATTTCATATTTAAGGATGAAGGCATAAACTTACATGGTACATGGATCGCAATGCCTACACGGCACAGAAGAATTGCAAAAATAGTCCTTTGCACAGGTGCATTCTGTGTTCTGTCCTGGGGTACAGTTTTTTGCAACCTCCAAACCTAAAATAAATTTCTTAAAGTTTGTTAGTTTGAAAAAGTAGGCCTTAAAAGCAAGCCTCTGCTCACATGCTCTTGTCCTGAGACTTACGTGCTTTTAGCTCTACCACTGCTGGCACTGGTGAGGCTTAATTTTCACAACAACATAGCTTTTACAAGGAGCCCTGCTCCTGGAGTACTGGAAATATGGAGATGACAAAGAGACCTCTGCTGGCCAAGGCCTCAAACAACTGATCACGCCATAAAGTACTTGCTAGAAGAGGAGTCATTTAGCACTGCCAAATGTTGTCAGCTTCTTTTTCCCATTCAGAAGTGTAAGGCCAGAAGGAAACTCGGAAGATCACGTAGCCCATCTCCCTGCTTGATGTCAGAGACGGGGTCTTTACTCTCCCTGACAGACAACAAGTTTTATCTCTTCTTGAGGACCTCCAGTGGTGAGGAATTCCACTGTCTCTTTTTAGCTAACATACTCCCCGCTTAAGTATCAAAACAAGTTAATTGATTTTCTCCTATACTCAGTGTATATGATGAAGCTATCTCCATCTATGGAATATTATTTCTGCATTAAAAATTACTGTAAGTATCTACCTACTATGAAAGCTATTTTCATAGGCATATAGGAGGAATAGAAATGAATTTTTGAGTTACCACATTCAGTGCCCTGCTGTAATGGGAAACCCTGTTATCTTTCAAAATTTGATGAAGCTCTACTGTGAAACCAGTGCTGAAGCCATTCACGGAAATATTAAACCGGAATGATGCTAAGAATGGTTCTTGTGGAACTTCAGTGGTAATTTTCCTCCTGCCTAATGTTTTCTACTGACTTCTCTTCAACTACATTATTGTCCATGGGATAATGTGACTAGTCATCCCATTACCCTTTTTTCCCCATTCAGTTTAACTAATAGTTTCCTTTGTGGTACCGTACAAAATACTGAATTGTTTTGTTGTACTCAACTTCATCACCCATCCAAAAATGCTTATTATAGTAGCTAATGAGTGGAAAATTTTCTATGCATGTGGAGGTGTTGCAGGAAGGGAAAAGTACTAAAGATTGATAGTCCAGCAGGTGATCTGAGTACAACCATATCGGAGTTAAAAGCTGTTTCTCCGCTCACCAAGCTCGATTTTGGATACAAGGAATGCAGAACTATCATTCCGTAAACCCAAGTATACTAGAACTACAGGACACCTGGTGGAACTTGTAGGAGATCAGCTTAATGGATTTAAGAAGGAAAAAAAAAAAAAAAAATCTATGATGGGTATTCATGCAACAGGTAGTGAATTTCTGGAACCTGGTGTCTCCCAGCAGGTTCATGCACAAAGGGCTCATAAATAGATAGTAAAATGACTAGGTAGAGATGTACCTTCTAACATCCTTTCCCACAACTGTGGATGCTGGTAGACTTTGCAGGGGACAGACCACAGAAAGTAGATGGTTTTGTGTTTTCTCTAAGTAGCATCTCTTGCCTCCGCTGCTGAATGCAGAATACTGGGGTAGGTGGACCACTGGTCTGACCCAGTAGGGCATGCCTCATAGTCTCATAATTTGACCCTATATCCCACACAGCATCTTGAATGCATGAAAGACATCACTCTATCAGCTCTAGCAATTTTAAATAATATTATTAATGACATGAAAGACTACAGAAGGAACCATTGGGAATTCTCCCATCCCTGCTTCTTACAACACCCTTCTTTTAAATAGAGGGTGAAGAAGAGAGAGTGCTTTTCTTCCTTGACTCTAACCAGTTTGTATAAGGTCTGCTTTGCAAGGACTGCTTTGGCTGAGCAAAGGCTGATATAAGGAGAAATAATGGACCAACATAGCTTGTTCTTCTTTCTACTTTGTGATTGATGAAAGGGAACTGGAGGATAAACTTATGACTTTTTTATAAATTCTTTCATGTACTACCACTAAAAAACTTTAACCTGCATGCTACCCACTATTCAGGGATTGTGGAGAATTTTCAGTCAAATCCTGTATCAAAAAAGAGTCACTGCTAGAGTTCCTATTTCTATAGACATACCAAATATGCTGTCACATGAATAGCATCTCAAACACTTGTCCAAATCATTGACATGATCTATGTACTCCTTTCCATTTTTACATGGAACACAGTGTTTGCTAACATCTGTTGGGCAGCTGGTATTTTTAACAAAACCTGTACAGACAGAAAAACAAGAATTAAGATTTGCAATACCTTTGGACAGAAGCCATCAGCTCTAAGACCTATATCAGACTTTTCTTTTTAATCTTTAATACTTTTTGATTTACAAATATGGACAGAATCTATATTCTTTACACATTTATATATGGTCTTCAGGAATGTAGTATACATAAGATCGAATTATCCCCCCCTCTTCCTCCAATTTAGGACTCAAGCAAAACGGTACATGCAAAATCGGAAAACCCATGAATATATGGAGTATTGTAGGCAAAAGCCTGTGCTTGCACTTTTTTAACCTCTTTCAAAGATGTGTATGTAGTTCTTGGCTCTTTTGTGACAAGCATGTTATGCGAGAACTACTATCTATAATGAAAAATTATTGGTGTATTGAGCTCAAGACATACTTTTTAAGTGTCCGATGTCCTGTAATAGAAAGATACAGCTAGAATGAAGCATTGCCTCCAGGAAATCACAGCATACTGCTTAGCTATCCCAGTAGAAAGCAATTGTGCATGTTGTGGTTTCCACTCTTAATGACTTTTCAACACAGTCTTAAAATGATACTCACCACGTTCACATTTCTTGCAACACTGAACACCTAAATTGTACTCATCCAGGTTACACTTAATTTCCCTCTTAGCAATGATCCTCCTTGTAATTAATTTATTGTACGGTCTGTGTATTAGAGCTTCCGTATCATTTTTGCACTGTGTTTCAATAATTAAGACAACCACCTAGGAGAGAAAAACAGCAAGTTATAAAAAAACCCAACAAACTGTCAAGGACTGTAGGTGTGTTTTACTACACAGAGTTAAATCAGTGCTGTTACTCTATTGCTAAACATATTGATATTCACCCCCTTATTAAAGTTGTTCATTACTTCAGAAGAGTTAATGGACAAAGAGGACACATATTAGATTTAATGCTATCAACCCTGCCGCTACAGGTACTGATCATTTGAACATTAATGCTTTAGAACAGGCCCATACATCTGAGTTGTAACAGATGACCTCATATGACTAATTATAGTGCAAAGCAAAGGAACTCTCATTATTTTCTGGAAGACTTCTCTCTGCCTCAGATTACTGTGCCTAAATCTGCCCTTTCTTAGCCAGTAATAATAATCTTCCATACAGATCTTCCTAAATTCAAATTATATCTTTCTTAATTTCTTGCCATCCTACTGTTGCTTGCAAACTGAACAGTGTTAATGCATCTTTGAAGAAAAAAAAAATCTAATGTTTTAATCTTGGCCAAAAATACCTGATTTATAAAATGATCTTGTTCTCAGTTTGTTTTCCAATTCAGTTGTTTTTCTTCTTAGTAGATGATGCCTATATATCCTGGAAAGATGTATCACTCTCCTTTCAAATTAATTTACACCCTGATCAATTTCTTTGAATGCACTGTCAAGTTAAATTGCATAGCGCTTGCTTTTTAATTTTTTTCCTGCTAGTAGTAACATTACTAGCTGTCAGTGTCCTGCCTCTTTTCATGGTAATAAGAAAGCACTGTGGACTGGAGGCCAAACCATTCTTTTCTTCTGTGTTAGGAGTAAGGCAAGAAAATGAGAAGGGTAGATCTGCTATAGTTTGCTGCCTTCTTGGCAATGGTTTGTGGGGAATTCTGTATATACTTTGCATGCACTAAGTATGAGATGTCTATATACATGGAACTATGTAATGCTTGTTGGCTGGAGAACTAGATTCCCTCCTAGAAATATTATTGTGCAGGACAGCCTGCCTTTACTTAACCCAGTTTCTGTGGATAGTCTGGAGTGGTTTGAACATTTCCATGATTTATTTTACTTATGTGTTACTATCTGTGTGGAGCTGTAACAGAAAAAATTAAGACAGTCCTTGTCTTGAAGAGTGTGAAGTCTTAACATCTAAGCTGAGCTCTAAATTCACTGTTCTTGCTCCTCTTTAATTAAAATATTGTTTCGTACTTTACAAAAGACTTGAGTATACGCTGTGAGGGATGCTGAGGAAGGGGGGAAAATTTATGCCTGGGAAGAAACGGAGCAATTCTATTGTCCTTGGCAAAATGAAAGAGCAGGCCAAGCTGTGAAGGAGAGGGGTGGCAGGGTACCTTTCTCGGAAAGGAGATTAGTGGGGAATGAGGTGCAATATAAAGAAACTGCCAAATCCTCATACCAATGGCACACTCATGGACTAAAAGTCCAAAGGACTGATCACAGGTTGACTCACATTTTAAATCAGCACGCAAAACACCTTGACTAGAATAATTTATTTTTAATTTTGTCCTGGATATTTGAAAGAGGTTATTTCTGAATGGTTGGTTATCTTTGAATACTTTTGAATTGCATCTTAGTACAAATTTGACTGTATCTGTTAATGCTAATAACAAGGGACATATGTATTTAAAGAATTCTCTCATAATTTGAGGACTGGTTATTTCTACTGTTACACTCCCCCCCCCCCCCCCCCGCAGGCG